TATACTGTTCGTAGCGCTGATTCTGGCGGTGAGCGAAAACACTGAAATAATACTTTTTTTAATAAGTATACTTGTAACAGTATCATTTGAGAGCATACACCTGAAACTGGATTTATGGAGGAAAGTCGTGGTTATTATGGTCTTGTGTGCAGAATATTTTTATTTTGCATCGTGCAATCAAGCTGTAAATTAGTCATATTGCATGAATGTTATATAACCTGTTTTACTGCTCTCCAGTTTTAGTTTATCACATTATTTAGTTGGAATGGACACATGTGCTTTTGTGTTTGTTGTAGATACTGAACACTTCAGCGTCTGAAGGACAACAGAAGAAAATCAGACAGAAGAGAGAGTGGATTATCCCACCACACAATGTGAGGGAAAATGTCAATTATACGAATCGGGAATACATAGCCAAAGTAAGATCTTTGTTTTTATACAAAAACTTTTTTAATTATTTTTTTTCAATACTGTTATTATTATTAATAATATTTTACATGCAACAGTACCTTTCCAAACATCAGTGAGTGATGTTTTGATGAACAGTTGAACTGCAAATTAATAAATAGAGCAAATAAGGTGGTATTTTGTAAAATCTCTCCAGATTGAAAAATGTTAAGCACTTTTTCCGATGTTCTGCGATGGATCATCATTGACTAGTATGAATAAACTCTAGTTACGTAACACTGCATGGTAAAAAAAAATTGGTTTAACATGCTACTTTTTAAACTGTATTAAATGCATTTGTTTGCAGATCCGTTCAGATGAGGAGACCAGGACGAGTATACGATATTCACTGACTGGATCTGGTGCTGACCAGCCACCCATTCACTTGTTCACTGTTAATAGAGAGACTGGCTTGGTCAAGATCCACGGAGTGTTAGACAGAGAGAAAACTCCCGTTTATTATGTGAGCAGCTCTTTCATCTTTTACACACGATTATAAACATTTATTGCATGGGTGTCTGTCCCACCCTGACTAACCTATAAAAGTATACTGATGAGTCGGTAAGAACTCGAGATAGCATCTAGCAGCAACTTTTCACAGGAGAGCTGGATTTGGGATTGTCATGAAGTGATGAATGTCATACATTCTGCCTGAATGACTCGATTACTAAATGAGGTGCAGCTCGCACTAAAACCCCCGAAACTTGTGTTTTCTTAGCCATAGCACATGCTTACATAGAGGCAGTGTCATTGAGTTGGTGTGCATGTGTTTGTTTTCACAGAGGAATCATGATTCATTAATAACTTTGAAATTACATTTTCTCAAAATTTTGAATAAAATGTTAAAACCAGAAATCTCAGTGGATTTAGAAACATGGCATGTGTTAAAGGAATAGTCCAAACAGCTGATTAAAACATCACAATAATCCACTCCAGTCCATCAGTTAAACATTCTCCCACATATTTGTTTAGGGCTGTTTTAGACTGTTTTTGCTTATAAACGGTGCTTGATCTTAATTAAGATTGATCTTTTCAAAGTGTTATTATTGAATATGGCCTCGGATTTTAACCAGAAGCAGTGATTTAAAAACATCTTACTGATGGATTTCTTACAAACACACAGCTTTTCGCTTCACAAGACTGTAACTGATGGACTGGAGTGGTTATTGTGATGTTTTATCAGCTGTTTGAACTCTCATTCTGAAGAGTCTTAGCATTTGCCGTCTAACTTTAGTTGTAGCCAATACACTTTTGTACGTTATAAATATCCTGTGTATAGCGGTTCGTCTTTTATATTGTGAGATTTTGGCCAAATGTGTTAAACAACAAGAGAAACTGAGCGCCCATATAGCGACAATAAACTTCATAACCTGCGGACTGATGAAAACATTATGCGATTAATTAACTGCATCAGATGCGGCCGTTCTAATGATGGACAAAACACAGATCTCCGTCATTCCATTTGAGTATGATTTTCAGAAATCAAGTGCAAGTGTCTGAACACCAACCAAAACACCAACTCTGATAACGCAATGTTTAATTATTGATGGAAAAAAAAAACGGCAGAAAAAAAAGGTTGGTATTATTCAGCAAGTGATGAAATTCTAAATTGTTGTAGCCAGAATGTTTCGTAAGCCATGAGGTAAATGTCGGTTGATTTGCATATAACCTACATAGATCAGGCTTGCATGAACATGACCATCACTAGACAACAAATAACTTATCATACTATTGTTTTAGCCAGAATGTTTCGTAAGCCATGAGGTAAATGTCGGTTGATTTGCATATAACCTGCATAGATCAGGCTTGCATGAACATGACCATCACTAGACAACAAATGACTTATCATACTTTGAGTGTAGCAAGCTTATATGAATGCATAGCGAGAGTTTGTGCTTGTTGATCAGAGTTCAATGCTTAGACCGTGCAGAGAAACAGCATCTCCTGAGTCGTACAGAGGAGTTCGGACATAGTTAACTGAAAAGGCAGGGTTTCATGATATTTCTAGCACAGCCTGGCCTTTCCTCTCTATCAGGAATACTTAGTTATTTCCCATTTGTGTTTAATTGAGCGTGTGTTTGATGTACTTTGTATTGCGTTGTTGTCCTTGAATACAGTGGAGGAGAAAATGAAGGGTTATGAGAGAAGGATGAGGGAGGGGAAATATGAATGCATAAAATACAGATTAAATAATAAAAATATATAAATCTATGCTGTGACTTTAAGAATTTATACTGAAAGCAGTAAATGACTGTTATGACTTATATGTAATTTATGAGATGTCTGGTGATTTTTTCTGTGTTCCAGCTCCGAGGGGTGGCCAGGTTTCTGAATGGCAGTCATGCTGAGAAAGATATTGATTTGAGAATCGTGGTGGAGGATGAGAACGATAATGCTCCTGTGTTTAACCTGACAACCGGAGCTGTTTATGAGCGGAGCGCAATAGGTACTGCCATCATGCATCATACTTCTGAGACAATCATGAAATTAGCCTATCCAGGCTCATTGCAAACATGTGCCTCCACCTATATTTCTGCAAAACTTTGGTGTAGGGGATATTTCCAACACAATAAAGCATTAACCTTTAGCGACACTCCCTGAACATTTCAATTCTGAACTGCCGCAGAACTGTACTGTATATGAAGCAACGTAATAAAAACACAGCAATACATGTTATCAACTTGCCACGGTCACATATTGAACGTGCGTTTTAAAGCCACTCACATTTCACTTTGAAACTGCTGCGAAACATGCAGTAAGGTGTTGCAGAAACGTCACCACAGGCACGTGTTTCCAATGAGCCTGGGTTGAAATGAAAATATGTGACCCTGGAGCACAAAATTAGTCTTAAGTCGCTGGGGTATATTTGTAGCAATAACCAACAATACATTGTATGGGTCACAATTATCTATTTTTCTTTTATGCCAAAATCATTAGGATATTAAGTAAAGATCATGTTCCATGAAGATATGTTGTAAATTTCCTACCGTAAATATATCAAAACTTAATTTTTGATTAGTAATATGCATTGCTAAGAACTTCATTTGAGCAACTTTAAAGATGATTTTCTCAATATTTCGATTTTTATGCACCCTCAGATTCCAGATTGTCAAATAGTTGTATCTCGGCCAAATATTGTCATATCCTAACAAACCATACATCAGTGGAAAGATTATTTATTCAGCTTTCAGATTATGTATAAATCACACAATTTCATAAAATTGACTCTTATGACTGGTTTTGTTGTCCAGGGTCACAAATGTGTTAAACAACAAGAGAAACTGAGCGCCCATATAGCTACAATAAACTTCATAACCTGCGAACTGATGAAAACATAATGCGATTAATTAACTGCATCAGATGCGGCCGTTCTAATGATGGACAAAACACAGATCTCCGTCATTCCATTTGAGTATGATTTTCAGAAATCAAGTGCAAGTGTCTGAACACCAACCAAAACACCAACTCTGATAACGCAATGTTTAATTATTGAAAAAATTAATTAATACATTTTTTATTTTTTAATGCTTAGTGGTGTGCCGTGGCATTTTTCGCGGCAGGAAAAAAAGGTTTGGAAACACTGGCATATAACATGCTCTCACAAGTTTATTATTTATCACAAATGTCTAACACATTATATAAAAAATAAAAAATCAATAACATGAAGATCCTCTTTTTTTAAAGATTTTATTTTGGCGTTTTATGCCTTAATTTAGGACAGGAAGCGAAGTGGGAGAGAGAAGGGGAGGGGATTGGGACTCAAACTCGGGAAACCACGAAATGCAATGTTGTCGCGCTGCCGTGTCTCTTTCAGGGGAAACCATACCCAAAAATGCATACCAGGTGTATATAATTTTTTCTTCTGTGGAACACAAACAGAGCCAGAGTTGATGAATCACTGGCTGTTTCTCAATATATGCTGCAAGCAAATACGTAATGACTTGCGGAAATAAACATTTGTTTTGCATAATTTTATTAAATTGAATAAAGACCTGGAGAAAGTCTGCAATAGTTGTACTGACATATTAAAAATTCATCTTAACATTGACAAAGCATAGGTCCCTAGTGAAAAATAAATACTTAAATGTATTTGAAAAAATATATATTTCATGCTAAGTATACTACAAATACATTTTCATATTTATGTACCTAATAAAAATACCCTTCAATTGTACTTTTAGTAAACTAAACTGGTATACTTAAAGTCTGCTCATTTGGAAAAACTAATTTTGTACTTTAATTGTGCAGAAGTAGTGCTGAAGACCAATTAAAGTGTAATGTGGTGTTTTGTTTCATGTTCATGTTTTCCATGTCT